CATGAATGGTAACTTTCTGCACTTATATTGGCAATATATGCCCCTGCATAAAAGCTGCATAGACTGTTAAGTTAATTAGGACTTGCTGAAACTGTTTCACTTGATGTAGGGAAGGATTGTGGTTAAGGGCAACAATTTGCCCTGCCCCTCCAATACTGGAAGGGACATGTGTTTTTTTTCTGTAGGACCCCATGTAGTGCAAACACAAGTTTTGTTGTCTTTTTTAATGCTTGAAACAACACCCTTGGGCTTGGGGGTAATACACAGAAATGCTGAAGTTACAAAATTTCGTCTTCAAGATTCAGGAACTGCATAGACACAAGGAGCTTGAGTTGACCTGGCAGGTCTTTGTTCATCTGACCCGAGTTACTAAAGCCACAAAAATGAGTATGTATGACTTAAATCCTTCAGGAGTCATGAAGCCTAGGAAAGCACTTCTCCCTTCCTGTTGGCTTGAAAGACTCACTACAGGTGAGGTTTGCTGCATCAAACAGGACATGCTAGGAATTTGCTCATTGTCCTGGTAGTCTGTGCTCTAAGTTTCCTACTTAGCTTCAGCTGTGCTCTCTAATGGCTTGGCTCAGCCAAAACCAGATGACGGTAAGTGAAGAAACCACTTGACACTGGAAAAAGGCTGCCTTCTCCCAGACCAGAGCTATGCACTTAAAATTGTCATCTGCTTATTCTATCAGGGTGACTCAAGTCTGGGAACCATTGACATTCAAGCTGTAGACTTACAATAAGGACTAGATTTTTGTATAAGGCCTGGATGGTTGACTCCATAAACATCTCTGCTCTTCAAAATAATAAGAATGTTTACAGACTGTCTCATGGATTCTAGTAAGAGCACAAAATTAGCCTTCCATATCACGTATTGAACCCAGGAAAACATACCCACTGCAAGTCATCTGTATACATGCATCATCACATTAACAGTCCAAGAAGTATATGGTTCCTAAGCAACCTCAACCTTCAGTACACTTTTATCTCCTAACTTTTCCCCTTTTTCAGCTTCCATTAGGTGGCAAGATTGGTGATTAACAGCAGCAGGCGGTAACTTCACATTTTTCCATAGTAATTAGGTTGGGATTTTTTTTATGTCAGGGAGTTTACTTTTCTCCTGACATATTTTGAGTTGCTCATGGCCTCAGTGCTTGTCATTCCAAGTAAAAAGAACATTTATCTTTTGCATGAACTGAATCTCCTTATCCCTCAACCCAGCTGAATGCTACAGTCATTCCAGATGTGGATGCTTGCTAGTGATTCTGTAAGGATAAGGCGAAGGGAGGGGAATCCTAGTGAGAGCATAAAAGGCTCTCGTCTAGCACTCGCAGTAGGACTGGGTGTGCAAGCAATTGTCCCTGTTTTGAGTTATTGTTAGGCTAATGCAATAAAAACTGTTCTTGCTTATGAGCTTCTGACAGTAGTAGTGCAAATGGGCTTCTGGTTTATAGCCATGGTATCTTAATGTGAAAATGGCTTAGGGAGTCTCATTTGGACCTGCCTGTTTCACTCTTATCCTGAGGCAAAATAAAAATACTGTTTTAAAGTTGACACAATTTAACTTTTTCAATTGTACCCTCGGAAAAGGAGACTTACTGGAGAGGAGTTTTATAGCTTTAAAATGTTGTTCCATGAGGAGGTATTCTGTTGAGTAATACTGTCTGTATTCAGTGGTCTTGGAAAAAGAAATTGGGTATTCATGCTGGGTTATGAAACATGGAAGAGAAGTATGCCAATGAAGTCTTCATCAAGGCCCTTGATTCTGCAGCTGAGGATAGTGGTTCTGCATTATGTGAGTTCCTGATCTGGAAGCATTGCTTTCTAGAGGGATTAGGAAGTAACACTTGACCTCTTTGATCTCACTGTTTGTGACATGCTCTGTATAAGGAACTATTGCAGTTACGTGCCTTCACATTTCAATGTGAGGAATTTAATAGCATTTTAAAGAAAAGAATATATTGTAGCCAATGAATATACTTCATTACCTTCATCTCCAATGTAACAATATCCTGTACATCTCAGATAATACCCCAGGAGACCCTAGGACTCTGAAAAAGCTTTGAGTTTTCTGTTCTATCTTGAAATATTTGTATAAGGAATATAAAATGTTTGTTCAAAACTTTCAGGTATGTAAAATAGAACTCATTCCTTGTTTACAAGGAGAAAACAGGCTAGTGGAACAAATGTTCTGTGTGATGAACAGAGTATTAAGCAAGAGGAAAAATCAAATAAGGGCAGACAAGTATTATGGTGGTTTTTCTGCCCAAAGGGAACAGCAGTGAAACTTTTTGCCATAAGTTAATCTGAAACACTGAGACCTACTGAGCATTCTCCAGTTTAAGAAAAAGACTTCGTAGTTAGAGTAGGAAGCTGGCAGCTGGGAATTGAGCAAGGTGTTTTTAATGAAGTGCAATTTTTGTCTTTTATGTGACTATTTCATGACCTTTAAAAAATAATCAGAAATATCCCTGGCTTTTGATTTTTGAAATATGGTGAATGTAATTACAGGGCTTTTGTCTATTGCATTTTTTTTCTTGTATGTGTGATGAAAGAACTGTACTTGCTTGAACAACAGAGGAGTAATTATACTTCCCTCTATTTGCAAAACCCTTAATACTGTACTGGGTGCTGGTACAATGTGGACTTAGTGACAATTTAGCCTTCGTAACCCAGTAAGGAAACGCTTGTGTAATTCACTGAGCCATTTTACTGAGATTATCTTAAACAGTAGCTTTGAACTGAAGGCTTTATTTAATACTCTCCAGTAGCTAAATGGCTAACTTCATACAAAAGCTGCTGCAAAATTCTTTCTTTAAGAAGAATGTATTTCACAAATTGTAATTGCTACTGTCTGTGTTCTTGACACATACATGAACTTAAAAGACCCCCCCTGAACCTGAAGTGTCCTGAGTTCTGCCAAAGTTCACATAATGGTTTGGATAAAGTACTGTGGCTCAGATCCACTTGGAATTTTTGTCCATTGTTGGCTTCTGGGTTGTGGCTTTAAATCTGAAAAGGAATTCTGTAGTTACTTGGTGCAGAAGCATTCATGAGAACAATAAGAATAAACATTATAATACTGGTCAATTTTTTATGCCAGGTCTCTTCCTGTTATGTATAACTTGAGAATTATTCACCTTTGCAGGTCTATGAGTATTTTCTGGAGTTCTGGGTTGGTTTCTCAATCCATAAAGCCAATCATGCTGATTACATACTGTTTATTGCTTCATTACAATGTAAAGTGTTATCCTAAATAAATAATAAGCCATAGTTGTGGTTTCTGAAATCTCACAGAAACAGAGCAGCCTATTCTAGCAGAAAAAGTGAAGATCAGCTATTTACTTTTATCCAAAGATTCTTTAAAGGACAAAAATCTTCCTTCTTGTAATTTAAGCAATATTCAGGATTTTTTTCCAAGCTAGTTGCTCAAACTTTTAAAAAAAAATAAATACTGCTTGTCCGTGTTAATGGTAATGCCCAATAACAGGAAAGCTCAGAACAAAGAGTTGACTGAGGAATGGTAAGTATTTTTTCTTCCAAGTATTTTTTGTTATGCTTGCAGTTAAGCATAAAACCAAATACAGTGATGAAGAGGGAAAATGACAACAGGGTGTCTTTCGCTCATTTCTGTCAACATCCTTTACTTCAGTGGATTTCTGAGGTTGAAATGGAATTTTCAGCACATTTTTTCTTTCTGTGAATTAGAATACTTTATGTGGAAATGCATAAAATTAATGAACTATGGAAGAAGGCTTTTGCTCACTTTATAAAACTGCAAATACAGACAGATATGGGTGGAAAAAGTCTACAAACTTCTGTTTTCTATCTTTGCCCTTCCTTTCCCCTTCTAAGGCTCTCGTAGTTTTGTAATTGGAACTGTTTTAAGGAAGGCTAAATGCAGTTATTGCTACCTCTAGAAAGGGCTGTCCCATGTACCTTTCCTCCAGACATTGTTTGCCCTGTGCATCTGATGGTCTTGGAGGTGGAGGCAAGCCTGGCTTTTCTGGCATGGATTCCTCCAGCAGATTTTCACTGTGTAACTTTACATTTTAGGTTACTGCCCACATTGATGCCTAGTGTCATCTTTGCCCATAACACGTGCAAAGAATAGTTGCTAGAAATTGCAAGTTTTAAGTCACTATATTTCAAAAAGGAAAAAAGGCAATTCTGGGCTATTCTCATCTTTGGTTTACATCCTAGCAACATTCTATTTTCTAATCTTGTAATGTAGTAAGAGACTTTGCTCTGCAGTTTGTTCCAGTTTAGCTTGTTCACAATCAAAAGTTTTGCCTCACTAAAAACTTTGCCAGTATTAAGATTTATATTTCCTGCGGAACATTTCTTGGTTAAAATTTAATTAATGAAGACTTGTGGTCAGAAGACATGGAGCACTCTTGTACATGAGAAACCTAATGTAAGAGAAGTTATTTTCCCACACTTTTGCAATTAAAAGATTGCCACTGCGCTGCAATTATAGAACACCCTGATGCAGTCATTGTAAGAAAAAGAGATTTGCTATTGACCATCCCTTTCTAACAGCTCTGCAGTGAATGTGGTGCCAGGTTTTGCACAGGTAAGTTTCAGAAGAAGGGTTTTATTTTGAACGAAAGGAATAAGGAGAAAGATAGTGGGACAGCAATCTCCAGATATCTGCTGTCCCAGAAAATGGCCTGTGTGAAACTAAACAGACCGGAAACTAAACAGGCAATTGCAGGATCCATGCAAGAAAGGCAGACTACCAGGTGATACATGCCAATGGTTTGTGGAGGGAGGGGGAAGGTGGGAGGCTTTTAAAGTCTCAGAATAGTGCTTGATGCATGTTTTATATAAAATATTATTGCTATTTGTATAAATGATTTCGTTCTGTCTGTCTTCTCTCTCTTCTGGACTCGGTCGGGCCATGTACAAATCCCAATCATTCAACAGTACTGGAGAGTAGATAGTATTTACCTCAATAATGGTAGTTTCTTTTCGATTTTTTTTAACCCTCAATTCAGATGATGGTTCGAAGCCAACGCCTACGATGGAAACCCAGCCTATTTTCGATGGAGAAGGTAAGAACATCCCTTAAAATGACAAAAAAAAAGAAAAGCTAATTCCCTCTCCCTTTTCTCTAGGATTTATGGCTCAAATGCTTTCTTTATCCTGCAAAACAGAAAAGCCAGTGAATCTCATAAGTTATCCAAATTTCACGGTGCCCTTGGGACCTGAGGCATTTTCCCTAATCCTTTTACATCCTCCCCTCTTTTCTGGAATCCAACAATAACACCAGTTGACCAGATTCCTGGGGTAATCCTGGAGGAAAAAGTATCACAGGGCAAAAAAAAAGGGGTGCATCAAGTCAGAAATGGCAACTTCCTTTAGACTGTCCTTACCCCCTACTGTGATACCAATGCTGGGAGTTTCCTAACCTCTGCAGCGTGTTACAGCTTCACAAAAGGAAGGGTAATGCTAAACCACAGCTTGTGAATGTTGACTTGGAAGAAAATTGCTGGGAGGTTTCTTTATTTAGCAGTTGCTTTCATTGACGCACATACTATTTAAGCAAATGAAGTCATTGTCCTGGGCCCACTTAATAGATGGCCCACCAAGGCAGTTTCCTTCTCAGATGGACAATCTTGCAATTGTATTATTCTGGAGAGGGAATGTCAGACCTTAGTCCCTTGGAAGCCTTTAAACAAGGGTAAAATTGCTGTCATCAGAGGGTTCAAGCCTTTCACACATACGGACATAAATACCCATGGGGATAGTGGTCTTTTGGTAGTGAATGGGCCTAGTAGAGGCTGATTATATCTTGCATATTGCCTAGAATTAGTGCATGTTTTCTACACGTTTAAACCCACAACCATTATAGTAAAGCAATGGGCAGAAGTATGAAACACTGACCCATCTGAAACTGTGGACCATAAGGTGGTGAGGGAAAGCCTACGCATTTTCCTAGTGGACTGCTGTGCTTCACACTTTTTCAAAAACTGGATCAAAGACAGAAATGAAGACTACTGAGCAAGAGTATGTGGAACTGTACTGTTGATACTTCCTGCCTTCTTGTAAAAACAGGTGATGGGGTGGGGTTTTATTGTCACTAAAATAAGGTTATTTAGTGACAAGATGCTGTAGTCCTATCACTTCCATTTAGTGATTGTAGATTTGCAAGCATCTTCTTGTGAGCTTTAAGAAATAGCAAAGCTCTTGGAGCAAAAAGCTTTCTCAAATAAACAAGGGAGACTGAAGCCATTCTGCCTATCTGTTGTTTATATCAAAAGTTCCTTGTGGCAGCAAGCACAAACTTCTGACCTTTAGGTTTTCCCCTCAGAGGGTGTCCCCATAGATATTCAAAGGAAAGAATACACTAGTAGAATGCGGGAATGAGATGACGTGGTTAATATAGCCTGTTCAGAAGTGCCTTCGCAGAAAGGTTCAACATTTTGGTTGTCCAAATAGAATTAGGCAAAGTTCTTGAAGTGGTGCAGAGAACAGACCTTTTCTGGTCCTTCTGATTACAGGTTGAGTCTGAAAAAAAGTGTTATCTATCTTCTATGAAAACCATTTTCAATCAAAAACCTTCACATTGATTTGATTTGTAGGTGAACTCAAGTATGATAAATGGGCTTGGACTGTATGATGAAAGATTGCCTCTCACAAATGTTACAGTATATTATGCAAGTTCTTATCTCTTAGACTTTGAGAGAGAATGTCTAATGCAATGGCTTCCTGCTGTATTAGCAGTGTCCCTTATGAACTGGGAGAAGAGACTGACAAGCAGGTTAATCAAGCTATGCGTCAATGAATAACCTCTGCTAAATTTGTCACTCTACATTTTTGTCATCTATATTAGTAAAATAGCACTAACTAGATTTCAGTGCTGGTTGTAGCAATAAGCACAAGAAAATCCATCTTGTGTCTGACCAAAGGTTTGTGTAATCCAACTACCTTTGTGCATACTGTCTCTTGGTACATCAGATTGCTGGTACATCAGACAGAGTAAGAAGTGTTTGACTTAAAGATGACTTGATTGCAGCCTTCCAATATCTACAGGGAAGTTTATCAAGATGGTGGTGCCAGGCTTTTCATAGTAATGCATGATGAGAGGCAACAATCATAAATTGAAACAAAATATTTGGACTGGACATAAGAAAAACCTTTGTCACAATGAGGAGGTGGAACACATTGCCCAGAGAGATTATATTCTGTGCTTCCTTTCTCAGCCAGTTGGATAAAGTGCAAGGGCAGGTTGGCCCTCCTGCCCTGGCAGCCAGAGGGCCAACCATGTCTTGGTGTGTATCAGGCACAGCATCGCCAGGTTGAGGGAGGTGATTGTCCCATTCTGCTCTGCGCTGGTGTGCAGACTCACCTCGAGTCCTCTGTGCGGTTTTGGATGCCACAATGTAAGAAAGATATTAAGCTATTAGAGAGCGTTCAGAGGAGGGCTGCAAAGGTGGTGAAGGGCCCAGAGGGGAAGCCAGACAAGGAGTGAGTGAAGTCACTCGTCTTATTCAGCCTGTAGAAGAGGAGAGTGAGGTGAGACCTTATAGCAGTGTACAGCTTGCTCACAAGGGGAAGCAGAGGGCCAGGCATTGATCTCTTCTCTCTGGTGACCAGTGACAGGACCCAGGGGAATAGCATGAAGCTATGTCAGGGCAGGCTTAGGTTTGTTATTAGGAAAAGGTTCTTTACCCAGGGGGTGGTTTGGCACTGGAACAGGCTCCCCAAGGCAGTGGTCACAGCACCAAGCCTAACAGAGTTCAAGAAGTGTTTGGACAATGCTCTCAGGGACATGGTGTGATTCTTGGGGATGTCCTGTGCACGGCCAGGAGCTGGACTTCAGTGGTTTGTGTGTGTCCCTCCCAGCTCAGGACATTTTATGGTTCTAAAGTTCCAAGCAACCTGGTCTATTCTTGTAGCTGTCCCTGTATGAAGCAGAAGGTTGGACCTCAGAATGTCATCCTGAACAATTCCTTGGTTCTATCTCAGCAAAAATGTCATGATACTTCCCTAGAATACTCTTGTAATCTTGGGTAGGTCTTCCTGGGGGATTGCTTGTACTTGGTTTCTGACACAAATGGCAGATGATGGAAAAGGGCAAACCAGTTTTCCATTCACCTCAGGTCTGGAATCTTCATAGATGTTCATAGGGGTTAAAGTCCAGATCCCATTCCTTTCAATTGAGTTTGAGAATTGATGGGCTCCTGTAAACTTGTATATTCGAAGTCAGGCAGCCAGGGTGGAGCTGATAGCAACATGAATGGACAACAAAAATGTGGGGTTTTGGTTTTTGTTTTGTTGGGTTTTTTTTTAAATTGAAATTTTTATTTTTTTGTATATTGCCTTTGGGTGCCTACCTTCAGTACACAAGGGGCTGACTTTTTTCAAAGGGCATTAAATGCACTCAGCTGCCCCTGAAATGTGTGATGCCTCTTGGATCTCAATATTTCCAAGATGAAGGTTCACCTTTCTCATGTTTTCACCTACATTAGAGGATAATGAAAATTCACATTTCAGGCATAATAAGTTCCCCTCCCACTCCCTCCCATCCTCCCTGAGGGCATAACAGAGCAGTGCCAGAGATAATGTAGATCAAACAACCTAAATTCTCCTGTCCAACGTTTGAATCATAAAGCAGTCATTTAAAATTATTTCATTTCATTATAATGCAGATCTTAGAGATGCTCATAGTGAATCTTTTCTTAGGACAAGATTCTTCTCTGCTGAAGAGTCTTGTATTAATGTCCTTCCTACAGTTAAAAAAAAATGTTCCCTCCTGCACTTCTAGGCTCTGTTTACTTTGCTTTCATCCTCTATTTAGTTTCAATGTGCAAGGTGTAGTAATTTCCTAGAGAATATCTCTTTTTAATATCTACTCATTTTGGTAAGTGTCACCTCTTAATTCATTGGGAATCTACTCTTATCACAGAGCTGTTCTTCGGAGGAATCTGTTTCTTGCTTGTATTAAAAAAAAAAGTCCAGGTTATCTGGATTGAAAATGCGTTTTTGGTAGATTCCAAAGGATTAATTTCCTTTTCTCTTTCTTTATCTTCTTTCCCCAGAATTCCTTTTAGTGCACCTTTCAACCTCACTGAAAGATGTGCACCATTGTGTTTCTAAAGGTCTTAATTCCTCAGCATCTATTGTCTTTGGTTGTCCCTTCTTTTTCAGCTGTAGACATACCCAGTCCATATGGTGCAGAGTCAGAGCTAAATTTCATTCCAGATTTAGGAGTTTGAATCTAGCACTTTGGGCTCTTTCTGGGGGAAACTACATCAAATTAAACATTGGGTAAGAGCTAGGAAGGGGAGAAGCACCAAAGTAGAAATAGTCCATAAACCAAAGTAGGTAGGTGTATTTATTTATAGAAGTACATCATGACTGAGTGTTGATAAAATAGTATAGTGAAACCTGCAGACAAGGCAATTTTTTATATTCCAGCAGTAGTAAGTTTGCTTAACAGTGTTCAGCCTGTATTTCCTTGTGAAAAAAATGCCCTGAACACAATTGCTACAATGCCTACAACCCATGTAGCTGAAAACATTTAGGAAGGAAAAATTCCCTTCCATTCTTTTTTTTTCCATACTCTTGTAATGTGTATAATCAGTTTATCTTGTAGGTAGCCTGTTTCTCACTTTGGTGAGCAGATCCATGTGAATGTCAACAAGGGAGCAGGAAAACTCTCGTGAAAAGTTCTTAGAGGAACTTAAGAAAAACTTCAGAATTTACTATATAAGGCATGTTCTTGTGGGAACTAAAAATTTTGCAGAAAATATCAGTTCTGCAAATGTCACTTGAAGCACTTTAGCACATGGTATTGAGTACTGCTTTGCTCAGTTCTAATCAAATACTGAAGTTGTGTCATATCTGTGGCTTAGGGCAGGTTCTGATGTGTTTTGATGTTGATTATAACACCTCAGAGGAGGTGCTCTAAGCACTTTTTTCCACGAATTTGTTTGGATGTCTTGGTTAGTGCATCAGACATGCTTTTCTAACCAGAACTTGTTTCTTTAACAGACTTCCTTTCAAGTCTTTCCAGAAATATCTTCATGTCTCTGCCTATTTATTTTGGATTTTGTTGTTGCTTGTTTTATGGAACTGACTGTGGCCAGCTCTTCTTGGGCAGTTAAAGCAATATTTAAATTCTGGATTGACTTTTTAAAATCTGGATTTCATATGTACTTTTGGGGAGAATGACATATACTACTGCACACATCATAACCTTTGAGATCTCTAAGTCTTGAGGAGAAAGACTTCAAACTAGAGAATATAGGAAGTGGAGGGTAGAGGGAGTTAAAAATGCTTTGCCAGCAGAGAGGTACTCTCTGGAATGGGAAGATCATGAGATAACTCTGCAGAGGGTTTACAAATAGTGGTTCATAAGAGGTAGAAGACTTCACCAGGGGATGAGCCAGTTGCTACAAAGATGATGGATCAGTTAAGGCATGATTGTAACACATGTCTTGACTTCTATGAATATAGATGGAGAGAGTTGGATTTGTCAAGCTTGGAGAAGACTCCAAGGAGACCTTATAGCAGCCTTCCACTACTTTAATTGGGCCTACAAGAAAGCTGGAGAGGGACTTTTTACAAGTGCATGTAGTGACAGGACAAAGGCTAATGGCTTTAAGCTGTCAGAGGGTAGGTTTAGATTAGATATAAAGAAGAAATTCTTCACTCTGTGTGTGGTGAGGCACTGGAACAGGTTGCCTAGAGAAGTGGTGGATGCCCCATCCCTGGCAGTGTTCAAGGCCAGGTTGGATGGAGCTTTGAGCAACCTGGTCTAGTGGAAGGTGTCTCTGCCCATAGCAGGAGGGTGGGGACCAGATGATCTTTAAGGTCCCTTCCAACCCAAACCATTCTATGATTTTTGAGTTGCAACAATGTGTATTTACAAGTTGCTGTAGTTTCTTTATGACTGGTTTTTTTTTCTTTCAGAAATCACCGCACCCACCCTTTGGATTAAGCACTTGGTCATCAAAGATTCCAAATTGAACAGCTCCAGTATAAGGAATTCAGGTGATGTTCTATCTAAAAATAAAAGTTTTTAGCTAGTCTGCAGTTCCTCACCATCTGTTCTTGTTTCCTTCATTCTTAATTGTAACTATCATGTTGCTTGTGCAACTTGAAGTCTGGGCTATAAAATTATTTTAGATAACATTGTTTTTTCTGCCCAGAGGGCCATAGTCAATGTGTGATGAGGGATGTTTGTTTCCCCAAAGCATAACTGGGGGAACCTCTAATTTCTTGATATGTTAGTTTATCCCAACCATCTGTCATCTTTTGCTGTTCAGCATGGATATACAAACTGGTATGTTTGGCTCAGAGATCTGGGCTGTGGTTTTGGGCTAAGCAGTTGCAAAAATACAGACAGGGGATTCTTTTCTAGAAAATCAAAGATTTTTTGCGGGGGATATTTTTTGATAGAGAAATGATTGGATTATTTCACAACTGGAAGTCGGTTACTTATGTCTGGGCCTAGGAAAATAATGAGATTTTTTTTGGTGGATGAGGGAAGACCCAAACGTAAAGAACAGCAAAAACAAGATCATGAATATGGGTGAGAAAAGAAAAAGAAGGAAGATGTGAAGTTAGGGTGTAAAACTTGAAATTGGGGATGAGGGTGAAATGGTGTGGAGTCATTGACATCACAAGCAACTGGAGAATCTGAAGGGGCAAGTTAGGCATTCTTAGCAAGTTTGTCTGATATATTGTAACTGAAGTGGGAGAAAGGAAGAAGTTAAAAGGAATATCAGAAGAACAAAATTGCCATGGATTTACTTCAAGGTTTGAATAGGAGCTACTACTGTTACATATATTCAATGAAACATATGCTTAGAAGTGCTGTTAGGAATAATTCTAGTCACCTGAAATGATATCTTGATACCTCATCCCCTGATATTTCTGGATTAGCTAGAGACCATTCATGACAGTTCCTTTAACCTTCCTGTGCCCCTTCTCAGCCACAGGGTGAAATCAGTGCTAGGTTGGGTGAAATTCTCTTACCCGAGTGGAGAAGAGCTCTTACAGGAGGACATTCAACATTGCCCAGACTGCAGTTTTAACAAGTCCCCTGTGCTTCACCTCCCAACTGTTTTTGTAGCAGGGTGGTCTGTGTAGGATCTGCTTGTGGGAATCATATCAGATAGTGTATGAATATCAACATCCCATCCTTTTATAAGGATGTCTTTCATGGAAGAGCAAATGCAGCTTCAAACAGCAGCTCACAGTGCAATTAAAGGTGGCAATTTAGTATTAAAATCCTGTGTAATGGTTCCTACCTATCTTGGAGACCAACTTTCCTTCTAGTGCAGCAAACCTGGTGACTGTGATGGAAACAAGAGTTCCTAGATCTGGGCACTAGGAGGTTACTAAGGGACTTGGGAGCAGGAGGGTCTTTTACTAGTGAGCCTATGTCCCACCCTTTCTTGGACTATCAGAGTCACAGGCTGGCTTTCATGTTGTAAGGGCAATCATTTTGTTCAAGTGTTTAGTCAGGAGGCTTACCTGATGTGAACTGGAGTTTTGTACACAGAAGAGTGCCTTTTGTGAGTTTACTTTTGTCCAATTTTTCAATTGTCTCTGATGTCAATTCTGTTACTCAAACAAAAGTATTGTGGGTGCATGCTACAAATGAAAAAGAAATGATCTTCTGGAAGACTCAAGAGTTCTCTCAGAGGTAGTTTATACAGCAAACTAAAAGGAGATGTGTGGTTCATCTGACTCAGCCTTACTGGCTGGCTTGACAGATGCTTATTTGCTGTAGGGTCTTATTAAGAGACTAGTTTGTCAAACTTTATCCCCAGATTTCCACATTGGGCCATACAAATATGCAGTCATCTCGGTTTTTTACACGGAATTATTGATATTGAGAAATGCTGCCTAGGGCTGGGGCTTAGCTGGTATTAGGTATAGGCTACTTCAGTCTGTTTCTTTCAACTAGTGAAGCCTAGTCCCCTTGTTTGGCATCTTTCATTCCTTTCATCACTTGTCACATATGTTAAAAGGCAACATAGAGTAGGTGGGATCAAACAAACTGGGTGAGAAGGAAAAATTATAATTTAGAATCACAGTTTTTCAAATGTCTTTAGGTCTGTCTTGGCTGTAGGTGATGAAACAGCTCTCATGAGATCGACATGCAAAATTAGGGGCTGTTTTTCATTACTTTTGGTCCTTGTCAGCTTGAAATATTAATGCTTAGCACATTTCTGATTTTTCATTTATTTTTAAAGGATTAAGGTAAGTTTTACTAGCAAAAGATGTGGATTTTTGGGTTTGGTAATGCCTCAGCTATGTTATCTATCTGAGCTTGCACTTTACAGTCTTGAAGTAGATACAGCCTGGTATCCTCTCGTAGTAGTTTAATGGGATCACTGAAATTGGAGGTGAGAAAAGACCTAGTAGGTCATCTAATCTACTGCCTTAGGGCTAGTGAATGTTTATACTGTACGAAGAGCAGCATTTTCTAGAATAAGATAAATGCCTTAGATAATAAAGATTTTGCTTCTTACCGCAGGAAGCTACTCTGCTCTCTGAACTCAATCTCAGGTTTTCTTCATTTGTAATATTCAACCTAACTCTTCTTTCACTTCTGTTCTTTTTCATTAGTCTTGGGTTCTTGAGAGCCTGCCCTGTTCCTTGACATTTGTACAGTGAAACACTTAACCCTGGTCTCTCTCCTCCCTGCTGTGGCTATATAGTCCTGTCCTTTGCAGTGAAGTCCAGTAGATATTACTGTCAGAGGATGTGCGCTGCACTCTGATCAGCACTGTCATTGGACGACATAGAAAACAAGGACCATCACTATACCAACCATGAGGAGAATTTAAGAATTGCTATATGGAGTCAAATAGACTCTTTAAGCTGCTGTCATTGTCTCTGGTTAATGTTAGGTGAACCAACCACCAGGCAGCTGAGCATTGCAAAACCAGTGACACCCATGTTACATATGCAGCCTGTATCTTGGAAGAGCTGCACTTGAAATCCAAGTGTTTCACCTTCTGTTTAGTGTTGACAAACAGAAATTCTGCTAAAACTGACCTCTTTTTTTGGAGCATTTACATTTTGCTTGGCATAGGGATTAAGAAAAGCAGAATGACTCTAGTCTGATGTTTAGAGCACTTGACTGAGAATCTGTCTCCAGGTGTTTTGCCAGTTTCTATACTCAGTAAAACAGCATTGCTAGGAGGGATTGTTAGTGCTGTTTCCCCAGCCCACCTTAAAGATTTAAATGACGACTAGATCCCTTTCTCAGTAGGGTGAGATGCAGGTTCAAACATTCTTGGCCAGAGGCAGGAACCAAATATGAACATCTGGGCTGTTGAACAGCAGAAAAGTTATTTGTCTATACTTATAAACTACGTCTTATGTCTGTATAAATCCTAAAAGCCTCAAAGTCAGTTTTCCTTTTGGGGGCAAGTGAAAAAATCTAGATTAACACAGTATTATTTGCTGTGGCAAGATGACAAAACCATTTTTGATGTTTGTTTTTAATTGCTTTTCCCCTTTTCCAAGCATGCACACGCACGTGTGCACACACATGGATACCCTAAACTAAGCAAGCCAGTTATTTAGCACTGTGCTCTGTGATCGGGCATTTTTAATATTGCCAGAGCATGAGGTGATAGCTGGAATGTTTGCAATGGCTGTTCTCTAATCAGCCTGACTGGGAACCATCTTGTCATTCTACTTTTACTGTTTCAGCCTCCTCCCTCCCACTGCCCCTCTGCCCCCTGCAACCTAGTCCAGCCTGCAACAGTCCAAATAAATTTTTTTTTTACAGTTCTTAACCTAGGGAAACACTTGATAATATTTTGCACTTGCAAGAAATCTAATGGCTGCTTGTTTAGGAGCACCCCATCTCCACTGAGGAATCCAGGGTTTTTCCTTACTTCCAGTGTTGGGTTATCTCCAAATTCATTTGAGTGACTTAGTGACTTGGTTTTCGTTAGCAAGAGTTTCCAGCCTGTATCCCACTTACCGTGACAACCTTTAAGAAAACCACAGAGTGATGTAATGAGTCCATGCATGGAAAAATAAACAGCTCTGGAGAAACCAGCAGTAGCAGCCTCGAGTCACTTGGGTTTTGAACATGATGTTATTTGAAAGGAAGAATGAGTAATATATTAAGGTTAGCAGCTGAAGACAGGTTTGTGTGTGCCTAGTTTATTAAAAAAAAAAACAAAAAAACCCAAAAAAACCCCCATAGCTCTTTATTTCAAAAATCATGCTTGCCATTTGGGGGCCAATTCCATGTGGCATATTTTGTTCAGTTCTGGCAGCCAAGCATTGCTCAGGCACCTCATGGATGGCAAGATGGTATTCCAGTGATAGAACTTCCTCCTGTCAGGAGCTCTTAGTGGACAGGCTATAACTGCAAATGAGCTTTGAAAACAAGAATGGTGGTATTCATATGTCTGTTTCTTAAATGAGCACACTTGGAAACCAAACTTTAGAGCTTTTCAAAGGGAGAAACCACTTGAAAACTGCATGTCTGTGTATATTCCACTATCTACCCCAAAGGGTGTCCCTGTGCAGTTTGTCTCCAGATATCTGCACAGTGAGGTGGAATGTGATTGTATCAAGTGTACTAAATTATAACCCAGGACCTGAGTTTTCTGGATTGTTTGTGTTCCTTAAGGTTTTTCCCACTTGCAGGAAAAAAAGGCAAGAAAAAAGCCATAGCACCCCAAAAAAACCTTGTCTCTAGGACTTGCCTAGGAAGTTATATCATTTTGCTGCATGCCTTTCTTAATGACTGGGGATAGTGATTACTTCTAGGGGGAATGCACTTGTGGGTATGTTGCCACAGCCATATGGAGGCTTTCTGGGATTCCATACATTAAAAAGGAATCTGCTTGAGACTGTATTGAGAATCAGCATAGTTCCTCTTGAGTCAGGTGAGATCAACCAACATATAATGGGACAGAGCCTGCTGATTTGCCCTGGAACAGGAATATGACAGTTTTGGTGGAATACCCCCAAAATAGCCAAGGTTAGACAAAAGTTTAATTTGTTAT